GAGGTAAGGGGAAAAAATGAGATTCAAGACTCGTCATGTATAGGTACAAGATCCCAACAATAAATGTAACTGTACTGTATCCCTAAAATGTACCAATAAACTCAATTAAAGCTGAAAAAAAATATATGTGGGAGGGGGTGAAGGGAGGGCAGAGGTAAGGGGAAAAAATGAGATTCAAGACTCGTCATGTATAGGTACAAGATCCCAACAATAAATGTAACTGTACTGTATCCCTAAAATGTACCAATAAACTCAATTAAAGCTGAAAAAAAATAATAAAATAAAATAAAATATACGTGTGGTTGTACAAAGAATTTACTAGGTAGTTTACGGGATACTCTGGCCTGCCAGTGTGCAGATAGCCATTCAGCATTCCTCTGCCTCTGACCCAGCAGCCTCAGGGACCAGGACATCCAGAACAGCTGCACAAGGAATTCAGCTTAGCTTCTCTACACACTAGCCAGAAGATTCCGCCAAAGGTTGAAGGCCTGCAACTCACTGCAGACTCTGGTGCAAGTCTGTGTCTGAAAGCTGAAGGGTCTGCACTGGAAGGCTAAAGAGTCTGCACCAGAAGACTGAGGAAAATGTAGAAAAATATCCAAAGACAATGGTAAAGTCTGGACTCCTCTAAAGAAAAAGGTCAGATATCCCTCTTTTTTCCCTTTTTATTCCATCTGGGATACAAGCCCATAGGTTGGTGCCACTCATATCCAGGTAGGTCTTCCCTCCCCGGTTTGCAACCTACACATCAATCATCCACAGACACAGCCAGAGCTTTACCAACCTGCTAGGCAGCTCTTACTCAAGTCCAGGTGACACATCACAATTCATGACCACAGGAAGTTAGGCTGAATTTCGCATTCACCTGGCTTAGGTGCCCAACTCACACAGCATGCATCTCTCTAAAGTTCTAAATCACCACATTCCTGGGTGCCCTGCTGGATCCCCAAGAGCACAAAGGAGACCACCACTTGACAGAAACCCATACTTCACAAATATGTCCTTCCCCACCTAAAATACCAGCTCAAAATGATCCTTCCTAAATTTACTATAAATGTCTTTCTTCAAAAGAACCAATCTTAGAAGCTACCTCCTCACAATGCTACCTTGGGGTCCCTGTTATGATACTATTCACATACTAGGCAACAATTGTTTCATTCCATATTTTTTTTAGTTAGGCCACTTGTGCCTCCTCTGTTAGACTCCAAACTCCCCGAGGGCACAGAACATTTGTACTCAGTTTCATGCTACTCTTTGACCTGCAGAAGGTTTGGCACATCCAAGAATTGGTATGACGCTAAGCCATTGCAAACATCTCTTCATCTAAAGTCATATGACCAGAGAATCTCCCTGTCTATATAATCAAAGTCCCAACTAAAATGCCAAAGGCGAGGGCTGGGGATTTAAAGTGCAAGGCCTTGAATTCAATCCCTGGTACCAACGAAAAGGAAAGGGAAAGGGAAAGGTCAAAGGCCAGAGACCCAGAGGGGGAGAGAAGCATAATAATCAATTTGAGAAAAAAGTGGAATTCTAAATATCTTCAAATATATCTTTTTATTCCTTTAAAATGTGCAAGCATTAATTATTCTGCAAATACTCACTTCAGATAATGCCCAGATGTCGCGTGATGCCTAATGACTATTGGTCTAAACTTGTACCTGACTCCATATTTACATCACAAAATATCAAGATGGAAACAGCCCCCCCACTTTGATCATGCATACTGACTGTATGTAACTAACTCAACCTCCACTTTTGCATCAGAAATACTTAAATATTATCTAAAAAGTTACCAAAACAGTAACACACAGCCCTAAAACTCTATTCTCCAGTCTAGAGGACATATGCCATCACTGATCAGAGAGAACGGAGGAAATCAGCCAGTATAACAGTATTGGTGACCCAAGAAGCAAGAGGTGTCCATGGCAAGCAGGAACTACACCCAGGACTGCAGTGACAGGAACTCTGACAGAAACACTCAGGAGCCAAACCCTTCTTTCTCCAGAGACCTCTCCCTCATCGGAGTACCTGTAGAAATCTAATTTAAATCCCAAACAGGACACCTAGATGGAACAGAGTCAGGGTCGCAGCCTCACTCATGTCAACTGAGTGACACGAGGGTGTGAATACCCTAGCCTCACCTGCCATCAGAAGCTCCACTGTGCCCCTACTGTGTCCAATGTCACTGCAATGGCCCTGCAATAGTCAGAGAAGGGAGGAACAGGTGGTGGGTTGCGGAGGTGGCCTTTGCACAAGCACAGAGAGCAGAAGTAAATCCCGATAGCTCCCAGTCCATTTGGCTGTGTTTGGCAAGCTCTCATCCTGTGCAAAGCAACGACGCCCAGGGAGAAGGCAGTGATGGCACAAAGAGGAGGAGTGCAAAGCAATGCCACATGACTTCTGCTCCTGCAAGTGGGCAGCTAGCTCAGGTGCTATCTCCTGTGGCTGTCAACTGCTCACAGAATCTGAAATCTCTCCTTTGGTCAAATCTTTAGCCATATCCCATAAGAATAAACACTTCCCCCCAAAGAAGCTGAAGACTCTCACCAGGCAGGACCAACTCCCCACACAGATGCACATGTGACCACAGGGGACCAGTACCATGATGATGATAATGAATACCTGAAAAGCTTCACCTCAAAGAATCTGGAGAAAATTTCACCACACTCAAGATCTCTGGTGCCTCTGAGAACAGACAGCAGATCCAGATACTGTCTGTCAAGCTGCTCAGATATTACTAGTCATGCACAGGATACCTGAGGTCCTCCCACAGGTCCCTGGAACTTGGGCACAGGTATCAGTGGGCTCAGCACCACCCAGCAGCTGCCCCATCTGTACTCCACATAGCTCAGGGAACTTAACGGACAAAAGACTGTTCAGTGTTGACACAGTGGCACATGGATTGTGTAAATCCCCTCAGACTGTATTCCTTTACCCAATATAAACCTGTGTTGACTAAATACCTTCATTTAATGTCTTTTGCTTTTTTAATTTCATTAGATTTTAGTACATCCATTTTCTATTGATTTCTAAGAAACTGGATGGGTTGAAATTGCTTCAAAAGCAAAGCAAACTAGCTGGCCATGCGCAGAATCCTGTTCCAGCTGGTGTTCCCGACAGGGGGCTTCTTGTCTGTCCCTCTGGGACTCCAAACTCCTCCCTGGACCTCATTCCTGGGGACTGCACAGGCTCTCCACCTCTGTCTCCAAGGGTGCCTGCCTCTGAGTCTCCCTGGCCTCCTCCATCACCCATACCCCAAATCTAACCAGCTCCAAGTTAGAAGACCTCCACCTGCGCAAGCAGCACCACCCTCTCCTGTAACGCTGCCACTGCCACTAAATCTGATTCCCACACCTACAGTGTGTGACCTGGCCTCCCTACCTCCACTCCTACCTTCCTTCTTTTCATGTTACCTAGATGTGACTGACACACTAAACTTCCAGAAAAACAGGGGTGGTGTGACTTCCCTCTTTAATACCACTGAGGACTCACTCTTAACCTTGGGTAAGAAAGACCACGGTTTTTAGCTTGTCCTTCAAGGCATGGCCACATCTACACAACTCAGCACTACCAGGTACCTCTGTTCCCTCTCCCATCCCAAGTGCACCAACCATGCTCAAACCTTCGCCCATGCTTGGATCAAGTACACGGTGACTAGGGCCACAATCCCCTCAAGCCTAGATCTGTGTATTCAACCCTTCTGGTTCTGTGAGGTCCCACTAAAGTGTCCAGTCCCCAAAGCCTCTCCTGACACCCCTAAACACAAGGGATTCTTCCCTCCTCACTCTCCAATGATACTTTTCTCTGTTAGGCATATGGCTGTTCACCTACGGCCTCCCCCTGGACACATGGCATCCCTCCCTTCCTGGGACTTTCCAGTGGGCTGACCTCTAAGATCGACCCTCCTCACCCCTGCAGGAACCCAGCAACCCACCCTATCCAGGGCAGTCACACACAACCCCAAACCTGGCAGCAGTCTGGCGTCCCATTCGGACACCCTGCAGCAGTCCTGCCCAAGACAGGAACTTTCCCAACTAGAACAGAATCTCCTGCCATACTTGCAAAGCAGGTGAACATTCTCCCATTTCGGCATCAATCTCCATTTTCAAAAATCTCCCAGTGGGCCGGGGAGCGAGCAAAGGGTGGGCAGGGCAGGGATGGGATGCTCCTGCTCCCCAGGACAGGAGTGACAGCGGCGAGGGCGCTGGGGACCCGCGCGGGGCGAGCCTGATCCCACCCTGTTGATCCAAACTTTTCCCTGCTTCCGTCACGCGGGACCCGCGGTCACTCGGGCCCGGGAGGAGG